TATGGTTGTCATCACTGTATGGTTTTCTAATCAGCCTTTTATTGCAAATTAAAAAGAACTTTTGCTTTGGCATAAATAAAGCAAGGAGGATGTCTTTGCAACAAACAACACTAGAAAAACACAATTTTTGATGCATTTGTTATTTGATTTTCACATCAAGTCTGCACCCAGATTTAAGCTGCAGTTTTCTTTAAATAGACTCTACAGCAATAACGTTAGTTCTTGTAACGTTACTGGCCGGCGTTTTATCCGTCATTATTATTATATACACACATTTCTTTTCGCCTGAGTTAACAAGTGGTTTGCGTACGAACAAAAACAATACGTACCACGAGAGAGGTAGCCATTTCCTTCTTCGGGATTTCTGTAGAGCACCTCAAGTTGTTTGGCTAAAAGGCTAAAAACACCAGACTGGCTCTGTACTGCCTCCACCACAGTTTCTTCCGCTACGGAAAGCGCAAAGGGACAAAATTGATTCATCAAGCCGCGGAGGGAGTCGTGGGACCAGTGGTGTAAAGTAACTAATTATAAATACTCAAACTTACTGTAAGTAAACTTTTAGCGCTGTATTGGTACTTTTACTCCACTACATATTTACTTAATCTGCAGTCACTTCTTTATTTTTTCCTGTCTATGGGGATTAGGAAAATCAGTCCTGTGATTGCTGTCAAATCGCACATAGAAATTAAATCGCATCATTATGTAGTACCTTAAGACATTGCCGATTTATAATTGCAGAAAACTGCAGCATTAAAGTGTCAAAGAAAAAATGTCCAAAATCTTTACACGCATTGACTCAGTGTCTGTTTAGATGCATGTTACTGATGAGAAGATGAAGAATACTGTATGATGACCAAAATGACCTTAAACACTGACATACGACATCAACATGACCTCATATTGACGTTGTACCCCATCGTCGTGGGGATGTTGCATTTTGTTTAGAAATAGAAATCTGGTTGACAACAGGACTTAATTCCAGGCCAACGTCAATGTCTCCAAACCAACCAAATATCAACGACTAATGATGTTACAGCTTGATATTGTGTGGACTTTGGATTTTGGTTGCCATACTTGACGAATAAATGTTAGTATTTCACATCAGTGTGACATCGGTTTAAGATGTTGGCTTAACGTTGGATTTTGGTCACTTTCTTCAGAACCTAAAATCAATCAAACATCACCATTTGACGTCGTTATTGGACATCAAAATAATGTCCTTAGACACTGGCTAGACATTAAAATTTGGTCATCTGATATCACAACCTAAATCTACCCTAATATTGATGTCTTATGACGTTGTGTACCTGCTAGGCAATAATTAAATGCACTACAGAATGTTACGTTTACACACATGCACAAATGACTTAAATGCATCAGCTTTTTACAGCGCACTACTCACTACTCGAGTACTTTAGAATGGTCTAATATTTACAACAGATACTTTTACTTGCACAACATTTTTGGGCAAGTAATGGTACTTTTACTTAAGTATGCTTTTTCAGTACTCTTTTCACCACTGCGTGGGACCAATTGTTTATTTATTTCTCATTCATAGTTACTTGTTCACTTTTTATTAAACTTTAAATAAATACACAGAAAAGTAAATATACTGTTTTTGAAACAGTAACGTTTTGTGGTATATTTGTGTAGTGAATTTATAATGGCCTACATTTACTAATACAGCCTAATTGCAAACAGACAGTCAGAGTAAATTGTTTATTTTTTAGTTCCAATTTCTAAAGTTGTTGATTTGTTTATTCGATGATTCAGCTTCTTTAAACTTGCACAAATAATACAGAGTAAAGTGAACACAGAAAAGTATATTATTTTAAAAACACATTAGATAAAAAGTCTTGTGGTATATTTGTGATGTACATTTCCAATTAATTGATACGTAATTGTGCTTACCTCCTCCAGAAAACACAGCATTTTACCCCTAATATTAGTATTCTGTAATTGGACATTTTACATATTGTAACAGAGGTTTCTGCCATTGACAGCACAGAGAAAAAAGAGTGAATTAAATGCATTTTTTAATTCCTCAATAGTGTCCACCAGCAGCAACATCTCCACTAATAGCATTTTTAAGTGCTGCTTGAACGAAGGCTTGAGCCACCACTAATGCAGTTGTTTGAAAGAATAATTGAGAATAGCACCAAGAGGAAACCCACACAAACATGGGGAGAACATGCAAACTCCACACAGAAATGCCAACTGACCCATCCGGAGCTCGAAGCAGTGACCTTCTTGCTGTGAGGCGATCGTGCTACCCACTGCGCCACCGTGATGCCCTGCTTTATCTTTGACTACACTTTTTGGCTGTTGTAGTCTTTTAAGTGATTTAAAAAGGAAATATGAAATAAATTGCAAGTGATGTTTAAATATAATGCATTCAAAACTTAAGCTGTGAGCTTCCCTGAAAATTACTGCACACCAAACACCTTAAAGTTCTTCAGAAAATCATACTAAAGCATTAAACTGTTCTGTAATATAAGTTAAATATAATTAAGAACCTTCCTTAATGGTTACTTTTGGATTATTGTTGTATACAGTACATAAAAAAAAAAAAAAATCCTAAACGATTGGTTCCATATGAAGCAACACAATTGACCTGTTCTATCTTTAGCTTCATGCACCTGGAGTTTGGTATTCTGTAAAATTTTTACATTAAAGAATATGTTTAGTTAAGTCTGTGGTCCTTGGTGATTCTCATATATGGCAGTGATTACATTTTTGTCCATGCACTGCTAACTGTTTGTCCAGGCTGTGGATTATAGTTTAAAACATTTTTTACACAGATCAATTGGATTGCTTTACAAAAAGAAAAAAAGAAAAAAGAAAAAAAGAAAACATTAAAAACAGTGTGTTATCAAGCACAGCCATAGCAATTGATTTAGATTCATTGTTATATGTTTATTTTTAATCTTAAAAAACTGTAACCACTGACTGTCAAAATAAGAATCACAAAAGGACCACACATTCAACAGAAAATCTTTTTTAGAGTTCTACTGAAGATGATGTGATCTTGGATGATCCGAGGGGGTGTAAATTAACAGGAAATGTGAATTTTGCTGTGAACTCTTTAATAGAATAATCATAAATTATCAAAAATAATTTTAATAAAACAAAACAATAATGCAAAGAGCTGACTTATCTGGATGATATTTCATACTGCTTTAAGACCTTCTTTGAGAAGCAGATATGATAAGATTTTCCGGTTTGTTTGTGCGACATTTAGCTGAAGCATATGTTATACTGCTTCTACCAGTCAAAAGTTTGGGGTCAGTTTTTTTTTCATGTTTTTTTAAGAAAATTATTCTGTTCATCAATGCAGCATTTATTAAATGTAAACAAAAATGTATTACAATTTTAAATAACTGCTTTCTTATTGTATGTATTTTCAAATTAAATTATTACTCCAGTCATTATTACTATTACCATTAATAATACTAATAATAGTAACAATAATTATTAATATTAGAGTGATTTCTGAAATATCATGTGACTCTGAAGACTGAAGTAATGAAGCTGAAATTTCATCCTTAAAATCGCTGGAATAAATGATTAAATAAAATAATAAACAAAAAGTGCTCAGGGGTAGCTTAAATAAGGTGTCGGTGCTCTTTGGGTAAGGGATTCATCAGAATAAACAGCAAAAATTAGTCCAAGACACTCAAAAAAATTGGAAAAAAAAAACATAAAAAAGTCTTTATTGTCATAGCTAATCCTTAAAAACCTGTGTTTTTGGCAAAGAACTGCCTTGTTCAGGATTAGCCATGTAATTAAAGGCTTTTTAATATTTTGTTCCACATTTTTCGAGTGCCTTGAACTGATTTTTTGCTAAATTCTAAATTACTTTTGAACAATTTTACTATCTACTGTATTTTAGATTAAATAAATGCTGCTTTGGGGTGACGCGGTGGCACAGTAGGTAGTGCTGTCACCTCACAGCAAGAAGGTCGCTGGTTCGAGCCTATGGGTCAGTTGGCATTTCTGTGTGGAGTTTGCATGTTCTCCCCGCATTCGCTTGGGTTTCCTGCTGGGGCTCCCGTTTCCCCCACAAGTTCAAAGACATGCGGTACAGGTGAATTGGGTGAGCTAAATTGTCCGTAGTGTATGAGTGTGTATAGGTGTTTCCCAGTGATGGGTTGCGGCTGAAAGGGCATCAGCTGCGTAAAAACGTGCTGGATAAGTTGGTGGTTCATTCCGCTGTGGCAACCCCAGATTAATAAAGGGACTGAGCCAAAAAGATAATGAATAAACGAATGAAATGCAGCTTTGGTGAGCAGGAGAAGCTTATTTTAAAAATCCTATTGACCCTAAACTTTTGACCAGAGTGTATCTGAGGACAGCTGAAAGAGTAACGTTGTAAAAGAATACATTGTGAAGCCCACACCAGCCACCCAACCTTTGTTTTGGCTTTCTCTGAAGCAGTCCAAGCATCAATTATGGGTTCAAACCCCAACAATTCTCACCCTTGGAGTGGGGCTGGTATGCACTCTATGTGGGGGGTTGATGTATGTGAGGCGTTTTCTCCAAAATGTTGAGTTTTCTCTGAAGCAGGCGCGCTACAGCAGGTGGCAGCAGCAGCAATGCAATTTTCAGCTCGACGGGTGTCGCCACAGCGGTGCAGAGCCTATCGAATATAGGCTACTATCCGGAAAAAAAAGTTCATTTCTGAAGAAATTAAGTGAAATCATTCAGCAATTCAAGGAAATAAACCTATTTTCTGACAAACTACAAGACACCACCAATTGGAAAACCCAGAAGATACATGAACCTTACGAAGAAGTTAAGGCGCACGCATATGCCGAGCCCACCCGATACACCTGCGTAGGTACCTGACGTCTGGAGCACTTCTCATATAAATGCTGCTGCGTCGTCACAAGTCGTCAGTAACAATGTTGACGGTTGGCATCGCCTCCAAGTGTACGAGCTCCTCCGAATGGAGTAGCGCTGTTTGCTGAAGCTTTTGCGTATTTCATGTTCTACACGACATGGAAGAAAACAACGACACGTCCTTCTTATTCCAGAACGACAGTGATTTAGATCACCAAACCGACAATGTGACTTTACCAGTGAAGGTCCCACTGAGTTATCAGATTTCCACATCTTTGCTGATCGGCGCGCTCATTTTATGTTCCATATTTGGAAACGCGTGTGTTGTGGCGGCTATCGCGTTGGAAAGATCTCTGCAAAATGTTGCCAACTACCTGATCGGATCTCTCGCCGTGACGGACCTGATGGTGTCGGTGCTCGTGCTGCCGATGGCTGCTCTTTACCAAGTTTTAGACAAGTGGACACTTGGACAGGTAACTTGTGATATTTTTATTTCTTTAGACATTTTGTGTTGCACTTCTTCCATTCTGCACCTGTGCGCTATAGCTTTGGATAGATACTGGGCGATCACCGACCCTATAGACTACATGAAGAAAAGGACATTAAAACGCGCTGCTCTGCTGATCACCGTCACCTGGTTTGTCGGCTTTTCGATATCAATCCCACCCATGCTGATTATGAAGTCTCAACCCAAGAGTAGAGCAGAAGACATGGCCAACCCTGAAGCTTGCATGATCAGCCACGACCCCTGGTACACCATTTATTCCACCTTTTGCGCATTTTACATCCCTCTGATTCTCATGTTGGTCTTGTATGGACGCATATTCAAAGCGGCAAGATTTCGCATTCGCAAAACTGTTCGCAAGCCTGAGAAAAAGAGGGTCAAGTGTTTGACTGTGTCGCCTGCACTTTTCAAGCGCGCCAACGGAGAGTTGAGCAAAAACTGGAAAAGCGCAGTCGAGCCCAAGCCCGCCGCGTGCGTAAACGGCGCGATCAAGCACGCGGAGGACGGCGAGTCTTTGGAGATCATCGAGGTTCACAGCAACTCCAAAAACAACCTGCCTCTGCCCAACACACCAAACTCTGTCCCTCTGTTCGAGAACAAACACGAGAAAAACACCGAGGCGAAGAGGAAGCTCGCCTTGGCACGCGAGCGCAAGACAGTGAAGACTCTGGGCATCATAATGGGCACTTTCATTCTGTGTTGGCTGCCATTCTTCATCAAAGCGCTCGTGATGCCTTTCTGTCCGACTTGTGTAATGCCTTTGTGGCTCCAAGACGTCATTAACTGGCTCGGCTATTCAAACTCGCTTTTGAATCCTATCATTTACGCATACTTTAATAAAGACTTCCAGAGCGCGTTCAAGAAAATCATCAAATGCCATTTTTGCAGGCCATAAATGTTTCAGTTCTACTGTCAGAAACACGAGTTAAACAGTATTGATTGCTCAGAAGAAATAGTGGTGTATTTTAACAGCACTGAAAACATCTTTAGTACCGTTATAAGTATGATTTTATATATCAGATGTATATGCTCTAACACCATAATGTGTACTGAAAATGTTTATTTCATGTCCATGACAAACACAGATCATATCCATGATGTGGAAATAAAAAGTCCCATTATGTTTACCATGCGTTCCTGCTTTCTGTTAATTGTTAATATTGATATACTACAAAAGAGATCACTTGAGTGAGGATATACAATGCTCTGCAATGAAAGAAAAACTGAAAGCTGAACTGAGTAATTTAAAAAATAATAATGATCTCTTGATTATTACATTTTAAAAATAAAACCTTTTAATGAACTTTTAATGTACAACAACTGTATAGATATATTGATCGTACATAAATGATAACATATTTTTTCTTAATATTTGACAGATTAAGTATTTCAATAATAAAATCACAGAATGCTTACATTCAGTAAGTGCTTTATCAATATTTGATACTCTAAAGACGGCTGCTGCCTTTTTTCCCTCAAGAGGCAGATATACATTTATCAATGTGTCATTTTCCAGTCCATCATTGAAATGCGTCTTCATACTTTTCCTCTTTGCAAGCACTTTAAAACCCATTAATCCTGACTCGCACCTCCATCCTCTGTGTAAACCCAGCATCAAACAATGGACACAAAGGAGCAACGGGGAGGCCAAAAATCCTCTTAACAAACACATATGAGAATGTTTTTTTACAACAAGATGCTCCACTGCGCATATCTCTTTTATAGAAATCTCAAGGCTTTTTACATGATCAGGAATGTGCCAGTGCAAATTGTTCCAGTGAATTACATTAACAGGTCCTCAGCTCTCCATGTTTATGTCAACTAATGAATTCTTGTTGGAACAAAATCATCTGTTTACTGAAAATGAAAATGTGCGAAAGCCAATAGAACAGTCAGATGTGCACCCTTTGGATTTATGCCACTTCAATTGTGTTCCCGCAACAGATCCAGTGGATTTTTGTAGTAAGCCATTTTATTAATTTAATTCATAAACCATACAATGAACACAAATGATTCATTGGATATGCAAAATTTTTATGGTAAGCTGTTAAAAGCTAATTATATGGGCTGAATTTAAACAAACAATTTAAAATTGTAATGTTTAACTTAATTTGTTTGTTTAAATTCAGCCCATAAAAATTGTTTCCAACCACTTACCCCAAAAAAAAATATATAATATAATATAATGTAAATATGTATATATATATATATATATATATATATATATATATATATATATATATATATATATATATATATATATATATAATTTGTTTTAAGGTATCCTTATTGCACCTGTTCTGTATTTACTATGGTAATTACAATTAATTATGCATGATGATGTATGTAACTAATCCTAAACTAAACACACATTTAACCATATAATATGTAATTAATAAATTAAACTCAGTGGTTAAATTAATAGTTATACTGTAAAATGGACGGCATAACATTTTTTAGGTTGAATCAAAAAACCCTAGGGTTAGAAACCCTAGTCATTCTAACATAAGTCACATTAAAACGACTTAAAACATACTTAACTTAAACTTAAAACATATTTAAATATGTATAACTTAAACTTAAAACATAAATAAATATGTAAATATACACAACTTAAATTTAAAACATATATAAATATGCATAACCTAAATATATAAAACTTAAAAAAATTAAGTTAAAACATCATTAAATTAGTTAAATAAAGCATTTATGTCGTCATGACGTCATTGATTATATGGTTTACAGTGTGAGGCCTATGTATTTATTAGATACTAGTATTTATTTAATAGACACTGGTTATTATTGGATACAGTACCCATTAAATAGATTACTTATTTCATAAGTGATCCACAATTTTGTTGTCAGGGATTTGTCATTGAGATATCAATTCAGTTTTGACGAGTATTTATTTCTGTTCTGACTTGTAAATTTTTTTACATACTACTTTTTTCTTTATACTATTTATTTTTTAAATGGTAGCTAACTTGCTATCATTTAATACTCTTATTAGTAGTAACATTCTAACATTTATTTACTACAACACTATAAAAAATTATATGATCAATTAGTCCTGACAACATATGTTTTTAGGTTTAACTAAGTTAATCATGTTCTAACTTAATTTTATAAGTTACACAAGCTGTTTTAAGTCAGTTTAACATAATATGAATTCAATGGACCCATAAGGTTAATTTAATTCAGCTTAAAAATTGTTACTAAAATTTTACTAAAATTACTAAAATTTTACTAATAATTTGTTATTTAATTAAATTATTGTATTGATCTATATTTTGTCTGTAGACTAATTATATTGAAAGACATCTAAAACAGCAGATCTTACAATATAGATATGAATTGTTACAATAATAAATATGTTCTAATACCTACTGTAATAGTTCTAATACCTACTGTAATAAAAAAGTTCTAGAATCTGCTTAATAGTAGTCAATAAGTATAATATCTGTAACAACTAATAATAAAATGTAATGAAAGCTTACTATTTAAACATTTAGGCTACATGTTACTTTTGTAATTATTAGCATTCAAAAATTAATAGAAAGATCAAGTAAAAAGTTCTAGAATCTGCTAAATAGTAGTCAATAAATATAGTATCTAATTAATAATTACTACTAATAAAATTAAACTATTTAAAAATTTATAGGTTACTTTTCGTAATTATTAGCATTCAAACATTCATAGAAGCACATCAAGCAAAAAGTTCTAACACCTGTTAAATACTAGTGAATAAGTACATCTAATTAATAATTACTAATAATTGAAGAGTTTATTTTGTGAGCATTTTTATCAGGCTCCTGTGTTTATTTTCAGCAATATCACTTTTATAGCAAAGAATAAGTCCTTTTCCAGGTCTTTTAACATAACATAAACAAAGGAGGCTGAGAAAAATATTCATTTTTGTTGGAAATTTCAGACGATTTTTGCATCTAAACTCTTCAGTTTTTAATGAATGCTTACTATTTAAACATTTACAGGTTACTTTTGTAATTATTAGCATTCAAACATTCATAGAAGCACATTAAGCACAGTGCAAATAAAATATGTAACAGTCACAGCTTCCATACAAACGTCCTATCCTAATGTCAGATTCCAATAGAAGTCAATCGCAAAACAACAACAATTGAAACAGTATTATTTATTAGTTACTTTTGAAACAAGTACTCGTTTTAAACTAAATAGCACCAAGTAAAGTAAGTAAAAACATATTAATATAGCACCTTTCACAGACAAGTCATTACAATGTGCTTTACAGTAAAAGAACACATAAAAGGCTACAATACAAACAACACCAAACAGCTCACACTACTTTTAAACAGGATCTAAAGCAGGACGGCACAGTGGCTCAGTGGTTAGCAATGTTGCCTCCCAGAAAGTTCACTGGTTTTTGAGTCCCAGCTGGGTCAGTTGGCATTTCTGTGTGAAGTTTGCATGCTCTCCCCGTGTTCGTGTAGGTTTATTATGTGCTCCGGTTTCCCCCACAGTCCAAAGACATGCACTAGTGAATTGTATAAGCTAAAAGTGTATGTGCTATAAGTGTATGTGTGTGAATGAGTGTGTATGGGTCTTTCCCAGTACTAGGTTAAAGCTGGAAGGGCATCCGCTGTGTAAAACATATGCCGGAATAGTTGGTGGTTCATTCCACTGTGGCGACCCCTGACAAATAAGGGACTAAACCGAAGGAAAATGAATTAATAAATGTAAAAAATGAATAGTATAATGACTAGTGTCTGTTTAATAGTTACCCAGTATAACTAACGAGTACTAATATCTAATAAATAACAAAAATAACTAGTAATTCAATAATATGAATAAGTAAGTACTACTCAATTGGAAAGATAGTACTTAAAAACCAAGTAACTCGCATGAAAACACCATTACATATAATAAATTGTGTATTAAAACAGCTTGCCATAATTGTTTGCCATAGCTCTGGTGTCTGAATCTGTAAAAGCCACTCCAGAGAGCAGACGCAGTGGTGCTGGTCACCATAGAGACTCTCAGATGTTTCAAACTCTGGGTCTGAGGTGCAATTATCTGATCAAAGGCCTGGGACAATAGAGCAGACCCACGTGCACACCCACAGCTGGCATCATTTACCCACCTGAGGATCCACAGTTATTTATTACAGTGAGAAACCTCCAGAACCCCGCTGAGACACCACTGCTGATCGCAAAACAAACACCCGTGAGCTTCGTGATTGTCTATTTTGGGTCACAACTGCACCACGGGAGCTTGTAAGCTTAGAGTAAATATACTGTATAGACAGTTTCAGATCGGAAAGAAAAAATCTAAGCCAAAATAGAGTCTGTCAGGTAAGTCCACAGACAGTGCAATCCCTTTACACAGACTGTATAGTTTGGTATTAAATTACAGATATTTATTTATTTTTTTCCTTATTTGGAAAATCATGAAAACTCTAAATAAGATCTAAATAAGATTAAATAAGATTTCTATAAAAAATGTCGACAAAATTGTTGCAAACAATTTATGTGCTGAATTTTAATAAGCAAATTAAATTTAGTAATGTTTATCTTAATTTGTTTGTTTAAATTTAGCCCAAATAAATTGATTAAAACACTTAACTTAAAAAATGCATCCAATGAATCATCTTTGAATCATTTTCTTCAGTGTATTTTGGGCTCCTTTCATTCAACATATGTCCTTTTATTAATCTTAAAGTGATACATTCAAAATAAATTGGCTGCTTGTTCAAACTACTTATTTAAAATGAGCTGAATCAACACAATTCTTAATTTTCTTTAACACAAAACAACTTAATTGTACTTTAAAACTTAAATTTGTAAAAACATTTAAGTTATAACTTAATTAATTTTTGTCTGGACCAAATGACGAAATTGTGATTGTGTACATTTTTTA